ACATAAATCTAACTTTCCCAAAGCGAATTACTTTATCCGGCATACAAAAAAAAAGAATTATGTAAAATGAAACATGATAACCCAAGCTTAACAGGTGTACAATTAGCAATCTGTATCAGACATAAGGTCTTCATAATTTAGTTAAACTCTCGATTTAACGGAGGAACCGTAGCCTCCGCTATATTGAGTTTCACTGTGTATCTGCGCAATCCAAATCGGGACGAATGTCACAGCCACCCGTCTTATCGAAGATTATGTCAGCCAGTCGATTATCTTAGTGAAACAATAAATAGTTATATAAGCAGTCGTAGTTCCGTTAGCAAACGGCATCTTCAACATATCTTCAGTTCATCATTTGAGTATTTGTTCTTAATATTCCTAGCAATCAGTATATTCTAATAAAATCGGTGTTTAATTATTTCGTTCATTTTCTGGTGAAGTTATCTCTATTACTATATCGCTGGCAAAAGTGTGAAACACTTTCCCGTATCGGCGGTAAACGGAGTCGAGATTTCGTAGAAACTTTGACACTAGAATTACTATTTAATTTTGTAAACGCGTTTAGTGTTCCCCGACCTATAGGCTTTCAAAACTAATCCCATCGAAAGAAATAGATATTCGAAGTTAAATAATAATTTAGAGATAGCATACAAGACCGATCTAGCATCATGAGTACTTTGAAACCCATTAAAGGTCACTAATTGTCGTTTAAAGATTTATCAATAGTAGGAATAGTCAAAGGTTCTGATTCAAATAATGTTACCGTTTGATTTTATCTGTATTTGGTCATCTGCGGCTATTATAAGAATATCGAATTGAATTTTATGATACCCGGACATACTAAATTTAAGTGTGACGATGTTGCCAAAAATTGTGAAGTATTGCTAATTTAATAACAAATAAATACCACTTCCTGAACCGCAAAAAGTTATCAATTCCACTATTAGAATATCAATCAAAAGTAATTGGTAAACAGAGGCTAACTGTTTAAAAAAAACACGGATAATTTCATGACATTTACTGATTTATAAGTTCTTGCTTGCTTCTATTATACACCAAAGGATAACTTTAGCACACCAATCTACTTATTACCATTGCAATTAATAAGTATCAGTATTAGTATAGGTTAATATGTTTCTCCTTATTATTTATGTAGATTGCAATATAAACACAATATTTGATTTTTTTACAGAATGCATTAGTATGAGTATGAGAAAGAAAAACTAGTTGAACAAATAAATGTAATAGATGACGGAAATAGATAACACATTAATATGCTTACATACATGACTAATATTTATGATTCTCTCCATCTACATCCCTACTACTACTACTACTACTACTACTACTACTACTATAGTTACAAGGGTTTGACTATAAACAGAGTTGACTGTCATCATTTCTTTCAATCCAACAAATACAGATCAATTTACAATCCTATTTTACATTTACTAAACACTAAAATGCACTTTCCTACGTCTCTTATTGAGGTTCTCACTTCTTTTTTGGTAAAATTCTGTTACTTCTTGGATCTTTTTTGTGATTGCATTCCTATCATAAGAAATGTTATAAATGTTATTTCGTGCTGTAACAGATCCTTGTTCAGCAGCTTTTTCATACCATTCAACTGCCTTTTTCTCATCTCTTTCTACTCCAGTTCCATGCTGATAGCACCAACCAAGCATGTTTTGTGCATAAGCATGCCTTTGTTTAGCTGCTTCTTGAAACAATTCAATTCCCTTTTGTCTATCTCTTTCTACTCCACTTTCACTCATATAACACCAACCAAGACTATATAATGCATCAGCAAGCCCTTGTTCAGCTGCTTTCTGATACCACATGACAGCCTTTTGTTGATCTTTTCTACTCCTGTTCCATGCAGATAACACCACCCAAGAAGATTTTGTGCACTGGCATGGTTTTGTTCAGCTGCTTTCTGATACCACATGACAGCCTTTTGTTCATCTTTTTCTACTCCAGTTCCAGCTATATAACCCCAACCAAGATTATATTGTGCATCAGCAAGCCCTTGTTCAGCTGCCTTCTGATACCACATGACAGCCTTTTGTTGATCTTTTTCCACTCCTGTTCCATTTTGATAACATGTACCAAGATTATATTGTGCATCAATGTGTCCTTGTTTAGCAGCTTTTTTATACCAGTCAACTGCCCCCTGTTCATCTTTTTCTACTCCCATTTCAGTTTGATAACATACACCAAGATTGTATAATGCATCAGCATCTTCTTGTTCAGCTGCTTGTTGATATAACTCAAAGGCCTTTTGTTTATCTTTTTCTACCCCAACTCCATACTGATAACACCAGCCAAGGATATTTTGTGCACTGGCATGGCTTTGTTCAGCTGCTTTTTTATACCATTCAATTGCCTTTTGATCATTTTTCTCCACTCCAGTTCCAGCCATGTAACACCAACCAAGATTACATAGTGCATCAGTTTGTCCCTGTTTAGCTGCCTCTTTATACCATTTAACAGCATTCTGTTCACTTTTTTCTACTCCTATACCAATTTGATAACACCAACCAAGGCAAGTTTTTGCAGCAATATGCCCTTGTTCAGCTGCTTTTACATACAATTGAACTGCCTTTTGCTCATCTTTTTCTGCTCCAATTCCATTCATATAACAAAAACCAAGGTCATATTGTGCCTTAATATGCCCATGTTCTGCTGCATGCTGATAACATTTAACTGCCTTTTGTTCATTTTTTTCTATTCCATCTCCATTCTGATAACATACACCAAGGTTATATTGTGCATATGCATGTCCTTGTTTAGCTGCTTTTTCATAACAGTCAAATGCCTTTTGTTTATCTTTTTCTACTCCTATTTTATTTTGATAACATATACCAAGATTACACAAGGCATCAGCATCTCCCTGGTCAGCTGCTTTTTGATACCATTCAACTGCAGCTTGTTCATTTCTTTTTACTCCCATTCCATGTTGATAACATATACCAAGAATATACTGTGCATCAATGTCTTCCTGCTCTGCCGCCTTTTTATACCATTTAACTGCTTTTTCTTTATCCTTTCTTACTCCTATTCCATTTTGATAACACATACCAAGAAAATATTGTGCATCAGCATCCCCTTGTTCAGCTGCTTTTTGATACAGTTCAACTGCTTTTTGATTATCTTTCCCTACCCCAACTCCATTCTGATAACATACACCAAGATTAAATTGTGCACTAACTTGTCCCTGTTTAGCTGCTTGTTGATACAATTTAAATGCTTTTTTCTCATTACTGTCCACCCCATTTCCAATCTGATAACATACACCAAGATTATATTGCGAATCAGCATCTCCTTGTTCAGCTGCTTTCCAATACAGTCTAATGGCTTTTTGCTCATTCTTCTTTATTCCAATTCCAGCCATATAGCAACAACCAAGATTATGTTGTGCATTGACATTCCCTTTTTTGGCTGCTTTTTTATACCAGTCAACTGCCTTTCGTTCACTTTTTCTTATGCCAGTACCAGTTTTATAACACATACCAAGATTATATTGTGCATTAACATGCCCTTGTTTAGCTGCTTTCTGATACAATTTAAATGCTTTTTTCTCATCCTTTTCTACTCCATCTCCAATCTGATAACATATAGCATGATTATATTGTGCATCAGTATCTTCTCCATTAGCTGCCACTTTTTTGTATATATTGGACAAACAAGAACGAAATTTTTTTGAAGCCAAAAGTAAAGTCAAAGAAGGGAAACGATTGGCTGTTTTTTGCCCATCTTTTTCTGCCTCAGTTTCACTGTTATTATTATAACATTCAGAGTGATTATCAGGAGAACCATAGAGATTATTATCCAATAATAAAGCTGTTTGCTGAACTTGCTGAGCCAGCATCTTTAATTTAGTATGGATATTCTCACAGGATGGTCGCTTTGTAAGGTCATCATCCCAGCAATCTGAGTATAATTTGATGTAGTCTTCTGGTGTTCCTGGATATGGAGTGTCACGACTACCTTTTAACCTATAGGCTTTAACATCATCAAGACTTTCTAATTCATTACATGGACGTTTTCTGCTAGATATTTCCCATAAAATCACTCCAAAGCTGAATATATCCGATTTTTTATCTAGTATGATATGATCATCATAGAAGTATTTGGGATCGATATATGTGTAGATTCCTTCATAAATTTGGTCGTTTTTTTGTTTGGATAGACCAATATTAATGTCTGTTATCTTGGCTACGCCTGCGTCAACTAATACACTATTAGAAGACTTATAGTCAAATAAAATAATTATTAGTATTAGTATACTAAATTAATATAACTCACTATTATTATTACGATCAAGATACGTTACCAAACTTTTGTGCGACAGACCCAATTGATGAATGTAATTCAACCCACAAATAATATCTTGACCAAGCTTGCATTTGGTAAACCAATCCAGTTCAATGTTCGCGTTTGACAAAAATTCTCGCAGTGAGCCGTTGTTAGCATGCTCTAAGATAGTCAAATATCTCTTACAACAGTCTATTGATGCCGTTATTATCCGAGTGGGGAAGGGAGATCGGTCAAAAAACGCTTTTGAATTCAGTGTCTGCGAAAAAAAAATATGTTTATTTCCAATTATCACTCAATGCGTACCTTTGCTTACTCCAAGAAATCGAATTATATTAGGATGATTATTTACTTTGCGATGGATTTTAATCTAGAACATTTTTATATATAAGTAAAAGTCATTATTACACGTAGTATTAAACCTGCGACTTCTAAATTTTAAGCTTATTACTAACCTCTTCGACAAAGTCTTTAAACAACGCATCTTCAGACTCATAATCCGTTAGCTCATGAGGGGTGTATGTGACTACTTCATCAGACAGCTTTACTCTCGTTCTGTAAACAGACTTATTGCCGCTACCATAAAGAATGCATGCTGTCTCAGTAAAATCAAGGAACGGATAGAATTGAATGTTTTCATCCCGAATATACTTTGCCAATTGTTCTTCTTCTGAGATAGCTGGATGGGCCTTGCCAGCTACTTGTACCATGGTTACGAAGAACAGTAACAAATGGCTTTTAAGTTTGTGGTTTGGTAATCGTATTCTGAAAGTTGCACGATTTACCAAACGTTATATGACTTCAATAGTAACGAAACTATATCTTATTCAACTATCAATGCTAGGAGAAATGTTTCGCTGAAATTCATGTTAACAGGAGAACTCGTTATTCTTTAATTAATACGTAGGTTTAGAAGATTCTTATTTGTTATTATTGGCTATTTCAATTGGGAAACTATGGGGGTGAATTAGGGGTAATTGTACTTCATTTGTTTGGTAATAAACCTTTAATTGGAATTGATGAGCATTTGTGTATTGCGTTGTAAGAGTGAAACCGTCTGAAAATAACGTGAGCGAATAAATTTAAATTTCAGTAAACTTTATTTATAATGTACACACGGATTAATGATTTACATAAAAATGACGTACCACGTGATAATTAGTGTACAATTTTGTGCGATGTACATGTATAGTGTGACAAGAATTATTAGATTTACGGTAAACGATGTATTTGAAGGTCAGTGCGAGGAAAAAGAACGATTTGACGGACGAACGAAAAAAAATCGAATATGCGATGGAGGGTGTGCGCCTAAAATTGAAAAAAAAAAATTTATTAAATTCGACTATGTTATAATCCAGCTCCTTGGAAAAGTGAACATGACTTAAGACTTGAACAGCCCTTTGTTTGCAAATCGCCGACATAAAGCCAACTCAAATTGACAACGTCTACTGCGCGATAGAATATGTACATTGGGGGGGGGGGGGGCTGGAAAGTTTTGTCGTCGATTCTTTATTTTGATAATTCTAAAAACAATTGTTCAAAAAACCATTTGATTCCCTTAAAATAGTCTCCATTAACATCTCTGTAATGTTGCAAACGATTCTGCCAATTCTTCTCATAGTCAGCTTTTGGGATGGTGTCAACAATTGGCTAAACAGCCCTTGTCAAATTTTCAACACTATTAAAACTTTTTTCCTTCAGTTCTGTCATAATTTGAAGAAATTGCAAGAAGGATCTGGACTATATGAAAGATTGGGAAGAAGTGCTACCTGTTACTTGTGAAGATATTCAGTTACGATTGCTGACTTATGCGGTGCTATATGTCATGTGAAGCATGATATTTAAACAGATTTTTTTTTCATAAAGTTTGAAAATACTTCCGACAGCATACTATTTGCATAAAGCTTTCATGGGAAATACCTGGCTAGCCATTTCTGTGGTAGTAATATGAGGGTCAGTTTTTTATGAAATCATCGACTTTTTCTGACGTCACTGCTTCGCAAGGACGCTCAGAACGAGCCTGGTCAAGAATTCTATCCCTTGAACGTATGAATCCAGCTTTAAACCGTGCAAATAGATAGTGTTTGTTGCATTGACCAACTTGTTGCGAACACCTGAGTTGGCTCCCGACCATTTCTTACATGAAACGATATGTATTATCGTTATCGTTTATGGCCTATTGTCCAATTGTTTTGGTGTAGGTTTTTCAAAAAGTGGTTTCTCAAAAATGGCGAAATAAATTTTCGTAATCTTTTTTTTTATCCATTCCTCGAAACGTTGCGGAACGATTGATCAACTCGATTTTTGCATAGGTCAGCTAATTGTTGAAACCCAACCCTGGCGACAAAACTTTTCAGCACCCCCACGTACACCAAAATTTGTAGGTGAGTTCGCTAGAATACTCGATATAAGAAATGCAACCAATTCGTATACAGTCAGCCTCGACATGTCGGCCAAAAATACCTGCCGACTTATCGAGTTGACCGGCTTATCGAGTTGACCGACTTATCGAGTTGACCGGCTTATCTAGAATCACGTGCTTATATATAATTTACATTTAATAAGTCGCGTTTGCTAATTATACAGCTAAATTGTGAACTAGCTTGTCTTAGAGATTTTTTTTTCTTATTTAACGTTGTAAATCTTTCATTTCTGACAATATAGAGCTATTCACGGTCAGGTCATTTGATTGCTGTACATAATTATCTGGATACTTTCGAATGCTGTTTTATTTGAAACCGATGGACATTTATCTTCATCACCTTCTTCGGTCTCAATTGTATTACGCAGAGACGTGTTATAATTGCAGAAGTTTAATTTGACGTTTAGAATACAATTTATATTTATGTTCATATGAGTATAGTGTACGTGTTATTAAGAATAAAATCCGATTATGTTGATAGTTGAAATCAATAGAGTATGATATTAAAGTTGAGAATTTTTATAAGGGGACAATCACGCTCTGTAAACAACATTGATAATAGAGAGGATAGACTGTATTTCGATTGTATGATTCTGCTAACATGCTTGACTGACATTTATTATCCTACAATGTTGCCAACCAGTAAAGTTCCGTAAATTGATCATGTGTACAATCAAATTACCGAGACCGACTTATCGAGGTGCATCTAATTAAAGACCCATCTGGAGACTTACGCCTTATTATTGTCGCGAATTTACATAGTAATAGATTGACCGACTTATCGACTTATCGAGTAATTGGAATTTTACCAAGCATGGTAACAACTATTATACGTGTATGTCGTTGATAGACGCTTTCAACGTTGTTATTCTCAATATGGATTCCTATTTGGTGGACATAAAGAAGTTCAATGGATAGACTAGCAACAACAAGCAATTCGATGTGTTTATTAAGAAATTTTAATTTCAAAAAAAAACCGGTAAATGATGCCTATTTGGAATGGATTCCATTGGATATAGTTATCATTGGGAGGCAATCATTTCGTCGACAATCATTTCACCGACAATTATTTCACCGACAAATTTTCACCAACATTATTTCGAAGTTATCCTTTTTTGGTAGTTAATTGTCGGTGAAATGTACTGTCTGTGAAATGATTGTCACGGACCCGTATCATTACATGGGCTACCTATTATTTATCATTATATAGTGTAAGCGTTAAATTGACATAGCTGATGAGACGGATGATTTCTATTATGTCATGGTAAACTATTTACTTATGCATCATGTTTATTGAATTGCTTAAATAATTATTGACTTATTATTATGTATCATGTCCGCTAGTTATGTGATGAGATCCAGATATAGGTAATAATATATGGATGACTATTGGATTTACATACAAACAAACGTGTTTAGTATTACCCAATAACGTGTGAGAATGGATTATGTCTGGCGTGTACAGAGCCATTATAAATGCATTCTGTTATTGTTAGATGTAAAGCACCAAGGCCTCTCAATTGGCAATAAGTTTTTGGATTCATTTATTATGGAATTACGGAATAATTTAAGGTATATATTCGATACGTATATACAGTATTTTGATTTTCTCTATTATCAAACGTACAAGAGACGACATGCACAAATAAATTGACACGCGTGACACTCAAAAAAATAGTTGACGAACAAAACGACTCATTATTTAATTTCATCAGGTAAATTATTTTGTGAATAAACTATGCAATCGACAAGTGCATATCGTGCGTTTAGCATCGATTACTTTGTATAATTCACAATAATGTGAATCGCAACTGAGCAGGCATGTGTGGTTTGAAACTGATATTTAAATAGTAGACTTGACGAGTAATCTACCTGACGTATACCATCGTGGTCTTTAAATCGACGCGTCCGCAATATAATAACCCAAACACTTTCTATTTGAATAACTTGTGCTTACAATATTAGCAACGTAGCGATTCACTTCCAAAGTTGCGCGTAGATCTTATCTGTAATCATCTGATAGATATCCAATTATTGTTGAAGTTAACAATTATTGGTTGAAATTAAACAACTCACTTGATAATTGATTCATTGTCTATTAGCAGGTTATTTGTATAAGTACAATCTGTTGTATTTTCAGGCAATCTACTAAAATATAAAGCACTATAAAGTTTATACGATGTAACAGTAACTCAACCAACCGTGTTTTTTAATTAATGTAAATTCATCTCGATACATGCATCAGTCGAACATATCAGTTTCATCGCTCTTTAGTCATATTACATGTCTTCTGAACCGATTGATATCAGGGCGTTTTGCGCCGACAGCGAGTATAACATTGTGGATATTAATATACTCATTTCTGGTTCTAACAGATTGTTAGCATTATTGGCAGGCATTGATGATTGGAATAACGAGATGTCTACTAGCTTGATGATTATGTATTCATACTTGCTGTTTGAATTAGACTTTCTCAACATATTTGTGTCGGGAGGGAAAGCTGTCTATTCTAGTACAGTCGATTACTTTCTCAATTAAAACCGCCAGTACATCCAGATAGTGTTGTTAACCATAAGAATGAAGATAATTCCCTTTTCCTTACTGATTCAATATCCATTGAATGGGCATAAAATAGACAGGGCGATGATAATTCACATATCCTTATAAGGCAGTGCATAAATGTGCGTAACACACGGCGTTTTCCTTTTACGGTCCGATACCAAAACGGACCCTGACTATGGGATAACAACAATATAATCAATGTTCAATAATCTTATTGGACAGCAACAGTATGCAATACTTTTTACGAAAGCTTCTCTTTGCAGAGAGTGCATAAAGAGGTACGTACGCTTGTGTTCTATAATAATTGAACCTAGTTCGCTACCAAGGAAATGTTGAGCATGCATTTATTTCAAATGCTAATCAAATTCGTCGACAACGTTTTAGCTAATCTGACACAAGGTTATATATACAATTGATTCAGCCAGCGTATGTTGTCCTTGACCCCATTTGAGAGACTGTTTGATATTGACGAGATCACATAATACCAATGCAGTGTGACGTTTTGTCTTCAAATAACAAACTTAGGTAAATTGAAAACTGCCAACAATTTAATCACGTTGAGTAGTGTGGCTGTAGTTCTTCTTTGTTAAGGACTGCTAACTAAAACTTGTCTCTCCGTATATGTTCGACAACACATGAATTTGCAATGGGGAGTGTTGCACGTTTTATTTATTGTTATCGTAGACAATCACAATGATAGAGTTCTGCCAAGTAGCGAAGCAAGAATCTCATGGAAGAAGTTAAAGTTTATAGAATCAAAGTTGCAAATGGAACAGAAATATCCAAATTGTTCATTAGTCCATCACAATCTCGCTTTGCTCTTATTGTTTTAACTTGTCAATGGTATGCAAATAAATGGTTTATTATTCTATGTACACATAATCTTTAGTTAACAAAACTTGTCGCATAATTAATCTTTTACTCAGAACTTCTAATACACTAATAATAATGTCTATTCGCTAGATGCAGAACCTGGTGGACACCAAACATTGTTCGTATTATTGACATCCTCATTCTCAACATCGACACCTATGTACTCCATTTCTTGTATCGGTACCCGGGTGCCATTGTATACATATTCCAGATTCTTCTCAAATTCTATGTAATGAATGCCTGGTTGATATTTCTCCGGATCCACATGCCAGAATGTAGTAACATTAAAAGCCCCATTAGGATTTTTTCTATCCACACTCGTTAATTCCTCAATTGTGTTGTTGCTTGAGGAGAGAATGTTTATTTTGAGGTTCTTTAAGGTAGCCATGTCGGAAGAAATTACCCTTACGGCAATCGGATATGAATAATTGATAATCGCTTGTGGGGATGTGGACGAGGGACAAAGAATAACTATGTGGTCTAGAGGTGCAACGGAAGTGAATGAGAATGTGGTAACAGGTCAGAAAACAGTCATTAAACTTGCGAACTTGTTAGGGGACGGTGGATTGATCATGAAATCTTACCCGCATAGACAGATCCTATTTGTATCATACAAGCAATAATGACCGCTACCGTTAAAAGTTGCATGGGTTTGATGAGAGTCTTCAACATTATTAGTGATTATATACTGTCGCTATAGATAGAGGACTAAGCGTTTTGAACAGTCAGAATATGAGAGTCGTGCTAGTGGTGGTTATATACTGGATTGTAAAAATTTACTACACCAATAGACTGAATGCAGCAGCGAGGTTGGGGGGAGGGTTTATATAACAAATAAGTTGATTTCTAATTCAACAAAGCCCACTTGATATTTTTCGCATGTGTCCTACAACCCGTACCAAAAAAACCAATTGGTGACTTCAGTGTTCGGGGCTTTTTCAAATACTCAGTGTGTCATACCCGATTTGTGGCGTATACATGTTTTTCCACGAGTGAAATTACGTACAATATGCAAAAGCCTTGCAAAGCATATGCAGCACTCGGCCATGAAGAACGGAGACATTCGTTGAAGTTGGGTTTATTCAGCGCAAGAAACAGCATATCGATACAAACAGTTTTACATATCTGATCTGACATGTAGTTTGGAAGTCGAGGTAATGTATAAGAATCTGTTGCTCATACAAAGACATCTCCTTAGTTTACACAAATTTAGCGTAACAATAATAAAACTTTACGTTTCGGGTTAACTTTTATGGTTTGTTATCCAGAACAAAATCCAAGTGAGAGAATCTAAGCTAGAAGATTCTCTGACAGACCGGAAAAGAGCGTTTGATAACAAGCGGTATAGTCTTGATCCATGTAACTATATCGAGTCGTAAGAAACGTGTACCACGCCGTGTTTATTTAAGGAGTCACCACAAAACGTTTTTTGTGGGAGGGGTTCTTATTGAGAACGACGTTTCGCTCGCTTAAACAGGACTTGTCACAGTGAAACAGCTGCAAAACGTTCATTATTATGTGGGAGGGGTTCTTATTGAGAGCGACGCTTACCTCGCCCAAATTGGCTTGTCTGTACTGTACAGCCTGCATGAATTAGCATTGTCTAACTGTTGTATCCAGTTATTTTTCTTGACATAATGAAATCAGACAATAAGACAAGAAAAATGGACGGGATGCATCTTGCAAGTCGTATTGTTATCGGAATAAGGGTTATCCTATAAATTAGTTAGTTGGCTGTGTGTCACGATGAGTATAGTACAGTGAATGCTATAAATAAAATGACGAGCTTTCCCAAAAATGTCATTTACGATTTCCGATAAGCAACCCCACATAACAATGTTCGTAGATCAAACCGTCGTATTATTTAACATTGTTAAATATCCCGGTATTAGAAGTAAGGTAGGGTAGGGGAGGGCAGAGGACAATAGGGAAGAAGGTAGGGAAGAAAGCGATTGCTCTTTGCTTTCATTAATATGCAGGAGCCGATAAATACAAAGCAAGCGAAGAAATTATTAATATAAACTTTTAAGTATTGGTGGAACATGTCGAAAATGGCAATAACAAAATGACACGAAAATCAACTAAACTTTTTTCGGTTCAATGTTACACACTTTGTCAATTTGTTAACAAATAATAGAATAGGATAACTGTGTGTGCTCAAAAGACGACGTTACCGTGTAATCAGATGACATTCGGAGCGTCAACTCCCAAGTTGTTCCACGGATATTTCTTGTACTTTTGCTTATCTTCAAACTAGGAAAGTTGGCATAAAAACCGGCACTATTGATGGCTTAACGTTCCACTAGACAATTAAATCTCATTCTGATTTGTTATAAGAACAGTTTTCTAACACATGCGATAATCAGATAATCGAAATCAGAATCCGCAAGAAGATAGATAAGGTCGTGCTCAAACAATGTCAACAATGCATAATTACTGTCTCTGACGAAAACCGGCAATTATTAATTATTGATCGTTAGACAAATCAAACCATGGAATTCTAGAAACAGCGTATTATAATTATGGTTCTTTTCTTGGTAAAGCATTTCTTAGTTTAGAGTGATCACCACTATTTGACTCCCACAAACATATTAACTTTTTCACACACAAGTCACTTGACTGCGAAAATCTGCGATTATTCGCCGGCACTCAACACTTCACAGTTTCCTGTACAGTTTCGGTTGCTCTTTGGTAAGTACTAGTGTTAGCTTTTATAGAGAAGAGGTTTTCGATTGCTGGCGATTGCTGAGCGTTACTGGACAATTCTAACGAAAGTTGTTGTCATTTAGCTGTTGTATAACAATATTGGCAATTTTATTGGGTACAACATGGTCAAGTATATTAGTGAAGATTTACGTTGCAGGATAGTTTATCTCCATTCCGATGGCTTTTCTCGTAAACGGATTTGCCGTTAATTGTATGTTGGTCGGGCCACAGTTTGAACGTTGGGGAATCCCTTCAAGGGGATGCGTGGACGTAGAAAGATTCTTGATCGTAACGATGTGGCATCACTCGAAAAAAGGTTTGTATGTTACAATTAAGTAAGGAAATAGAAAAATCTCACTGAAAACTTTATCACTAAAATTGGAGAATCATATTCACCCGAGCAACTCATATTCCTTGATGAGAGCGCGAAGGATGTTATCTTTTGCAAGCCGTGCATATTTGCTGTGGCACTTGAAACAAAAGGAAGATTAAGCTTCTCAATCATAACCAAATATCTTACTTTTCTCCTGCAAGAACCGCATTTGGGCATGTTTCTGATTTGGGGAGATAATGCGACATAATTTGTAACTTTCTCTCTTTTACAATAACAACTCTATTTGTTATCTGTTTTACATAAAAAACAAAGCTGACATGCATAACAGAAAGCCGTATTATATTTTCTGCGTTCGATTTGTGCAGTCATGGTTGAAGTATTTGCAGAGAGCATATGCATGCTGACTGGCAATTAGTGTTTTCGAAAAATTTTTTGTTTGTGTCAGGGGTTTCCATAATTTTGAAAAGTGCTTGTTTTATAACGCTTTGCGACAGACTCCACTATTTGAGAGTTTGATGTGTAAAGCAATTTCCCGACTATCAATACGTATTTTCTGAAATTTCATGCTTTGCTGATCACTATATACAATCAATCGCACGTTTTTTTCTATTGTATAAACTGTTGCGATGATACTAATGGTTTCCGTTAAATTCAAACGCCTCATATACAGTATCAGAGAACAAATATTGTATTTCAGAGTATAAAGAACTACTCGTAAGAAAGGAATATTAAAAGAACATAATAACATGATGCGAGCATCTGCTAAAAGAATATGAACATAATCGAACATATATATAACATTACATAACATTCATAACCACTCTATCTATTGGAAAGTCGAGCTTCTTATATATCTTACGAAGTGCCAGTTTCTAATCTAGCTGTGTGTACTAAGTGCCCGTATTTTCTGGCACTGCGCAAAAATTAGCGTCATATACATCGTCACCACATAGTATTAGTTTATTTAATTAGAAGAGGAGTATAAAACTCACACAAACTAAATAAACGACGAATTACAAATTTATTCAAAAGTGTTTTTGAGTCACTAAGTCATATCAGCGGAAAATGTAATTGACTTTATTTATAACCAATTGTTGTATTCATACCTGCAGCTGAATCCAAATCATAACTATTTCTCGGCTCAGGTAAATCTCCTGTAGGAAAGAGCTTACTAGAGTATTTATTCACCTTCTCGAGACGTGATAAGGGTCTTACATTGTTATGATAAACGGTATTCCACATGCTATCAGACTTATTCATAAGGTTGTGAATATTATTCCACAGCCTCCGTGCATCTAGACGCTTATCAGGATCAGCATCACAACATCGCTCGGCAAGTTTCTTGTATTCTTCTGGTACTGAATCAGCCATAGTTGGTCGTAGTCCGCCCATAATATTGCATAGTAAATATCTATTAAATTCTCTATCTCGAAAAGGTGGTTCACCGGTGGCCATCAAATACATAATAATACCAAAAGAATATATATCTGATTCCCGAGTAAATTTGCCAGTATGAAAGACTTCCGGTGCAATAAAGGGTAAAACACCTCGAATGTTTGAATTTGACTCGTGTGAATTCACAGATCGTGAGAGACCAAGATCGCATATGAATGGTTTGCTTAAATGAAAATTTTTGTTTGTTTCAGATTCATTGTCATGCAAAACTATGTTTCCGCCATGAAAATCACAATGCACTAATGCCGCCTTATGAATACTTGTCAGATGGAACACAATATTCAGCAAACACCGTAACTTCATCCTCCAGGTTAACTTGTTTATGTTTCGACCCAAATAAGACAAAAGACTACCATTATTAGCATATTGCATAACACTTATGTATTCTTTTGTTTCTGGGTCTTGTGTCGCTCCATAAATTTGAAGGAATGAAAAACGTGAACACTTGGCATGATTTCTGAACTCAATTGAATAAAAACAAAAACAGAGTCACCGTAAATATCGCTTTCATTAATACTATCAAAGATTGCTTACCTCAGAAGTAAATAATTCCGGCGTCTGATCAAAACAATTGAAACGTTTGAGGACAACAGTTTCTGGAATATCCTCTTCTTCCAAATACTTTTTATATTTGGCAGTACAAACTGTTCCATAACCACCAGATCCAATCTCCTTAATTGTATCAAAGTCGGCATACTGCATATACTTTATACACTTATTAGTTTGCATAAATCTGTCCAATACTGCATGCATGTCGTGGTAGAGCACCAAATAATATTCTTTAGCAGATGGCTCTTGAGTGATACCAACAATCCAAATATTATCTGGGGTTAATATCTCCGGATGCTCTTTAGTCAGCTATTTGAGTAAACAAATACAGCCGTTAAACGCGCTAATAAATACTATTTGCATTTTACACGTGAAATAATTTACCTGATGAAAATCAAATAACTGATCGTTTTGTTCGCCAACTATCTTTTTGAGTGTCACGCGTGTCAATTCATTTGTTCTCCAATCTGCTACATGTGTGCATCCATGGCGTAATAATGTCATCTGTTGTACGTTCATCAATAGAGAATATTCTATCCATTGTATATACACATCATCTTGGTTACTCGTATTCTTCCATGATTCCATAATAAATGAATCCAATGACTTGTTGCCCGTAGTCCAATCT